AGGGACTGGAGGACAGAGGGGGGGGGTTCTGGCCAGGGGACAGAGGAGGAGGGGGATTCTGGCCAGGAGGCTGGGGGCAAGCTGTCTGAGGGGGGGGGAGTGCGTGAGGGATCTGGGCATGAGTGGGTGGGGAGGCACTTACTTGTTTTTGTGCTACACAACAGGTACCATGTAACATGACTCCCACTGCTCCCATTCGCCGGCAAGAAGTCTCCGGGAAGGGTTCGAAGGGGAGGCCAGCAGAAAGTGTGTTGGGGGGAACAAAAAATAGCAGTCCCAGAAATCCATATTTAGTACCTGGATTCCCCCACGCAGGGGAAAAGGAAAACGTTGCACTGAGCCATTTTTAGCCTGTTTGTTCCCTGCATGCCAGATCCGGTGCAGCACCTCGGGGCTTTCTCTCCTCCTCCTCTCCCCCGCAGGAAACCGGCTCTGGTGTTCCAGTCTTGCAGGGGGCCACAAGGCTGCAACACCAGCACTGGCTCCCTGCTGCGGGGGAAACAAGAGGGGAATGAGTTGAGGCTCTAGAAGAGCCATATCTTGCTCCCTAGTGAGTTATATTTGGCTTGTGAGCCATAGGTTGCTGACCCCTGTCCTAGTTCTTGAGACATGAGAAGGAGCAACTAGCACTTCCTTATTTACTTTCCCACAACAGTCATGATTTCAGAGACTTCAATCATAACCCCTCCCCTAGTTGGTCTCTTTTCCAAGCTCAAAAGTCCCAGTCTTCTTAAGTTCTCCTCACACAAAAGCTGTTCCATACCCCAATCATTTCATTGTCCTTTTCTGAAACTTTTCCAATTCCAATATCTCTTTCTGAGACAGGGTGACAATATCTTCACCCAATATTCAGGATACCATGCATCTATTCAGAAGCTATATGATTTGTTAAAGATTCCCAACATTCTGTTGGCTTTTCTGACTGCCACTGCACATTGAGTGCATTTTTTCAGACAACTATACGCAACTCCTAGATCTCTTTCCTGAATGGTAACAGCTAATTTAGAGCCCATCATTTTATATGTATAGTTGGGATTTTTTTCAATGTACATTACTTTGCATTTATCAGCATTGAATTTCATCTGCCATTTTGTTGCCTAGTCACCTTTTGAAGCTCTTCATAGTCTGCCTGGGACTTAACAATATTGAGCAGTTTTGTATCATCTGAAAATGTGTCCACCTCACCATTTACCCCTTTTCCCGGATCATTTATGAATATGTTGATTAGGACTAATTACAGTACTCACTACTGGGGGACATCACTATTTACCTCTTTCCATTCTGAAAACTAACCATTTATACCTAACCTTTGTTTCATCTCATTTAACCAGGTACCAGTCCATGACAGAACCCACCCTCACCATATGACAGTTTACTCTGCTTAAGAATCTTTGGTGAGGGACCTTGTCAAAGGCTTTCTGAAAATTTAAGTATCCATTGGATCCCCCTTGTCCATATGATTGTTGACCCTCTCAAACAATTCTAGTAGATTGGTGAGGTATGATTTCCCTTTACAGAAACTATGTTGACTCTTCCCTAACAAATTATGTTTATTTATATGTCTGACAATTGTTTTCTTTAGTACAGTTTTGACCAGTTTTCCTGGTACAAAGCAGGCTAATGAGCCTGTAACTGCCAGGATCACTTCTAGATCTCCTTTTAAAAATTGGCATCACATTAGCTATCTTCCAGTCACTTGGTACAGAAGTTTATTTAAATTATAGGTTACAGATTACAGTTCTGCAATTTCACATTTGAGTTCCTTCAGAACTCTTGGGTGAGTACCATCTAGTCCTGCTGAGTTTTTGTTTAATTTCTCAATTTGTTCAAAAAACACCTCCTCAGTCTGGGACAGTCTTCAGATTTGTCACCTAAAAAGAATAACTCAGGTCTGGGACTCTCCCTCACATCCTCATGCAAAAAATTCATTTAGTTTCTTCTTACCATCTTTGAGTACTACTTTACCACCATGATCATTTAGTGTCCACAAAGGTTGTTTTGCAGGCTTCCTGCTTCTGATATACTTAAAATTGTTTTTAATATTCAAGTCTTTGGCTAGCTTTTCTTGAAATTATTTTTGGCCTTCCTAATTATATTTGTACACTTCACTCCTTTCTATTTTCATCCCAAAGATTTAATTTCCACTTTTTAAAGGATGCCTTTTCCCCTCTCAGTGCTTCTTTTACTTTGTTTAAACATGACGGCATGACGGTCTTTTGATTCTCTTTGGCTACATCTAGACTGGCATGATTTTCCGCAAATGCTTTTAACGCTGCGGCTCTGCTCCCGTGTCCCTGGTCTGCTGGGGGGGGGGAGGGGGGCGCAGCTAGTGTGCCCCCCCCCCCCAGCAGACCAGGCTTTTGTTGCCGGACCCTGGGGCAGAGCAGCGTGAGAGGCGCGGCGGTGCCGCGCCCCCCCGCCGTTGCTGCGGCTTTGCTCCCCGTGTCCCTGGTCTGCTGGGTGGGGGGGCGCAGCTAGTGCGCCCCCCCCCCCAGCAGACCAGGCTTTTGTTTTGGACCCTGGGGTAGAGCAGCTGGGGCGCTGCCGATTGGTCCTGCAGCGCCGCTCTGGGCACTACTGGACCAATCCAGCAGCACCCCAGCTGCTCTGCCCCAGGCGTCCCCAAGTCAGCCACTGCTGAAACTGACCAGTGCTGACTACAGGAAGCCCGAGGCAGAGTTGCTCTGCCCCAGGCTTCCTGGGATCAGCCGCTGATCAGTTTCAGCAGCAGCTGACTTGGGGAAGCTTGGGGTTCTTAAGTTGAATCTGTATGTAAGTCAGAACTGGCAGCGGCTGAATCTGGACTCCAGTTCCGACTTACATACAGATTCAACTTAAGAACAAACCTACAGTCCCTATCTTGTACGTAACCTGGGGACTGCCTGTAATTTGGGGTAAACGTTTATGTTGCGCCTCAATTTTGGTGTCTTTAAAAAGTTTCCATGCAGCTTACAAAGATTTCACTTTTGACATGGTGCCTTTAAATTTCTATTTAACTAACCTCTTCATTTTTGAGGAGTTCCCTTTTCTGAAATTAAATGCTATATTAGATTTTAGTAAACACCTTTAATAGTCTAGATTCCAAATTCTTATTTTATGAAACATTTTATGTCCTGCTAGTGTAGTGCCTGTTTCTGCAAAAGTATAGCTATCAAATATTGCATAATGCTAGAGAAGAGTAATACTTCCACTGAGTTTAGCCAGGGAGGGCATAAATGTACTTTGTTAACAAAGGAATGAACTAAGGACTTGTCTTCACTACATTGACACAGCTGTGCTGATGTGATGCATCTTCATTACATGAGTTATGTCAGTGGGAGAATGTCTCCTGATGACATAGCTCAATATAGACACCACTTTAAGCCTGATGTAACTTACATTACTCAAAAAGATGACCTTTATATACCCTTGAGCAACCAAAGTTACAGTGATTTAAGGGGTAGTGAAGACAAGCTCTTCGCCTTTATCCAAAATTAAATGCTTTAAAGGGCAGCTGTAATCTGAAAAATAAAAATGGAAACTTTTCACCATTGTGTGCATATCCTAGAGCCATATTTGCATTTTCAGTGATAATTTTAAACTACTTTTTACTCCCATTAACCCTTCAAAGCCACCACAAATTAGAAAGATCTTCACCCACACCTCCTCAAAAGAACTCTTTATAAGTTCCAATCACATATACCGGCTAAAACCTTGTGATAGCAAAACAGTTGCCCAAGTCAACTAATGCAGTATCTGGGACCTGGTCCAAATCCCATTCACTTCAATGGGAGCTGGTTCAACCCATGGTCTGCAGAATCCTCACTACTGGTCAGAACAGATATGTAGAAAAGTAGCTTTTTCAGATCATGACTTAACTCCAAAGGGCTGAGAATTTTAAAAAATTGCAAAAAGACCACATTTGATATTGAAATCATCATCATCAACCCAGTCATCACTTTCCAGTGTTTGGGGCACATGTCTAGGCCAAACAGTAGCCCCCGCCCCTTGCATTAAATCTTAAAATCAGCATTACAAAGATGAGTGGCCAAAGAGATGTCAACAGCAAGTGTCTCATTAATATTACTATATTTAATTATCTTATCTTCTATGCTTCTCCCAAAGTTTTGGGAGAAGCACCTGATCACATTCATGCTGGACATCCCATTCTACTTGCATACTCAACATATACTAAGGGGACAAGAGGTTTTGTCTGGGGGTGCAAGCTCTGCAATGTGGGCAGGAATGAGGGGTGCAAGGCTTGGCCAGAGGGTGAGGTGCATGGGTATGAGGGCTCTGGCTAGAAATGCAGGCTGTAGGGTAGAGCTGGGTTAAGCAATTTGGGTGAAGGAGATGCTCCGGGCTACTGCAAAGAGAAAAGACTCACCCAGAAGCACATTATATAACAACGGCCATACTGATCAGACCAAAGGTGCATCTAGCCCAGTATCCTGTTTTTCAACAGTGGTCAATGCCAGATGCCTAAGAGGGAATGAATAGAACAGGGAATCTACAAGCAATCCCTCACCCATCTCCCATTCCCAGCCTCTGACAGAGGCTAGAGACACCATTCCTACCCATCCTGGCTGATAACGATTGATGGACCTAATTTCCATGGATTTATCTAGTTCTTTCCTGAACCCTGTTAAATTCCTGGTTTTCACAACATCCTCTGGCAAGGAGTTCCACAGGCTGACAGTGCACTGTGTGAAGAAAAACCTCCTTTTGTTTGTTTTAAACCTGCTAGCTATTAATTTCATTTGGTGACCGCCTAGGTCTTGTGTTATGGGAATAAGTAAATAACTCTTCCTTATTCACTTTTTCCACACCACTCATGCTTGTATAGACTCCAATCATATTCCCCCTTAGTCTCCTCTTTTCTAAGATGAAAGGTCCCAGTCTTTTTAATAGAGGCTGTCCTATTCTCTATCCCCTTTTTAAGGATTCCTAACATTGTTTGCTTTTTTGACTGCCACTGCACACTGAGTGGATGTTTTCAGAGAATTATCCACAATGACTCCAAGATCTCTCTCGAGTAGTTGTAGCCAAATTAGTCCCCACCATATTGTACCTATACTTGGGATTATTTTTTCCAATGTGCATTACTTTACATTTGCCAACATTAAATTTTGTCATTTCGTTGCCTGGTCTGAGGAGGGAAAGATACCTTTCGCCATTGTGGCAGCTCCAGGACCGGGACGGAAGGATAGGCGCTTCACTCTTCCCCCAGAAAATTCTACCTGGAGTCATACTGGAGCTGAGCCACCCTGGCTGTAATAGGTCGGGGGTAAGCCCCATGCATCCTGGCCGTGGCAGGTTTGGGCGGGTACTGATCTCAGGCTATTCCTCCCCTATCCATGGCTGATTGGAGGCCAGGATAGATTGGAGTGTTCCTTCTCCGGCAGGTTCCTTGAGCACCTGCACAGTGCTAAATAAGCAGCTGCACAGCCATGCAACTTACAGGGAACTTAGTCAATGTTGACAGTTCTCAGGTTTTCTTCATGTCACGTGTGTTTTGCCAGGACTAGAGCCAGTCTCATCATGATATGAGAAGCTCCAGCCCTTATGATTAGCAGCCTTTCCTACTTGCCTACTTCCTAGGAAAGAGCAGTCAATCAGGACTGCTGCAAAAAGCAGAAACAGTTCTCACCCCTCCTCTCAGAAGCTGACACTAAGGGAAACAGAAAAAATATGATAGCTCAAGGCAATCCTATTTCCTTCTCCCATGCTGTGAACAGTCTGTCAGCTCCTGTTCCCCCCTTCCTCTCCATCCCCACATCATCAGTCCTGGAAAGGAAGACAGAGGGCCTCATTGCAGACCCACCCTCATGACTTAAAGGGGAATGTGAAGAACCACAGGAGCTGCAGGAAAGCAGAGTTGAAGCAGGGGTGCAGCCATACAGATGTGACACACATCCTTCTCTGGAGACAAAAAAAAAATCCATCTCAATAAATTTGGCAGCACTAATTGTCATATATGCACATTGGGCATGGATGCTAGAATAATCTAAACATGCTGTATTTATCTGTAATCTTGTTTCAAAAAGATTTTGTGACTTTGGGGAGCAATCTCATGGGATTTTTAAAAATAACTTGTAATTTTAATATTTGGTTACACCACATGTGGTATGGAGAACCATGTGTTGGTCCATGATTGTATATCTGACTAGAAATACAAAGCCTCCATTTTCATCAACACGCTATGTTATGAAATGTTTAAGTATAGATAAATCAAATTAATATACTGCAGTTTCAATCACATACCCAACACTGCCTTTGCTAGACTCCCAGTGTAAATAAGTCTTCCATCTTCGGATTGCCCATGACAGGATGAGGTGCTGAAGCAGCGAACAGGAGCTACATGAGTAAATATGATCTACAGGATAAAAGTAGAACATGGTAAATAAAGCATTAGCATCAGCTATGTACATTCCAGATTTCTCCTGATCTAGATGGTGAACTCATCATACACAGGGTAGAAACTGAAAATTACACTACAACTAAATAAGCAGTTTAATGGATATTGGTTAATTTAGTTTATTTGCATGTGCTAAGAAATAGAGGATTTAACGATTCAGAGAATTAGAAATGGAATATGCAGCCATACAACCCTTCAGACCCAGAACACTAATTAAAACTAAGGATGTTAGCATGCAGTTGTTTACAAGATTAACCGATAAGCCTGGGCTTATTAATTAATCCTAATGACTACATGCACACACTCCCTTGTTGCCTCTGTACACCTTGCTGCCCCACACATGCTGGCTCCCACTGCTGACTGATAAGAGAGGCAGCAGCCTGCTGGGGGAAGGAGTCAGGTGAGAGATGTACACATGGCAAGCCAGCTTTCGAGAAGCAGCAAAGTGGGAAAGCAGGAGGGAGCCAGAGGTTGGAGGACCCAGCTTAAAAGCATGCTCCCCATGAGCATCAGTCCCCACCTTCCCTCACACCCACACACAACATGTAACCATATAACCACTAAAAATCCAGCAGTTACACATTTACACAAATACGCATTAGTTAGCATTCCTACTTAAAACCCGGTCCAAGGCCCTGATTCTGTAACGAGCGCTGCAGCATGAACTCCAGTTCCTATGTAGATCCCGCTGATGTCAGTGGTGCTCCGTATAAATGCAGGAGCCCACACAGGCCAATCTCATGGCAAATCTCTAGTCTAGCCACCTATCAATCCTCAGCATTCCCAATTCTTCAAATACTGAGAGAGACTTGTGTTAAAATGTCATGGTTTACTTAAATCCGCAGCTTGAGTCCTGCCATTACACAAGAAGCACATCTTCCATTTATAAGTAAATGTCTGGCCCGCAGGGTGGCAAAGAAATACTTGAGACTGAACTCAAGGGGTGTATCAAAAGGGCCCCAGATTCTCTTAATTACTCATGATTTTAAGCTAATCATGTATCACTAGGAGGCCTAAGTCCTGAGTGCCAAACCCTGGGGCTTGGCTACACTACATGGACAGCAGTAGCTGGATACGCTTTATCCCTCGGAAACGTTGTGCATCCTCCACCAGCAAACACTTTATCACAGGCACTATTATCAGGGGAGATAGAAAATAGGGCGAGCTCCTCAACCAGGCCTCCTGCTTCTTTCCCTGCGATTGCAGGGGAGGCTCCACCCGACCCCGCTACGAGGACGCTCCTGCACCTGCTCTAGTCTCCCTTCAGCCCTGAGAAGGGCTCCACCTGCTCCGGGATTTCGGGCCCGCAGCAGCGCCGGGCGCCCGCAATCAGACGCGCTGGGAGGGTGGTTCGGGGCCATGCAGCGGGGGGTGCACGCCGCTGCCGCGCGGCTCCCTAA